TTAACGATACTGGCGAAAAGCGTGCTTGAGCAGGTCCGGGAGTTGGCGACCGGCAGCAATAGCATCCCGCCGCTGGCGGGGTGTCATTTTGTGCAACTGACGTAGTAGAGCTGCGTGCTTCTCGTATCGCCTCACCGAGGCGGGGCACTTCCATTTACCACGATCTTGAATCTGCTGGATGCTGAGGGCATTGAGATAGGCATCAGTCGAAGGGCCAGTGTGTCGGAAACAATGCGGCACAATCCTCAGGGCATCCAGCTCCAGCGCCTCTGAGGCTTCTTTGATGGACTTCTCGTAAGACGGGAGTGTGAGGTGGCGGAAAACCCGCTCACCATCGTGAGCGGACCCATGCAAGAAAGCGGCCACGTCCTTCACGAAGGTGCGGTCGAGGATACCAATGACCAACGTGTCATCTTGCTCGCCAGACTTGGTCTTGCCAGCTCGGGTGCTAGGAGAGAGAACGAGGCCCCAATCGGTGTAGCGTGAGCCACGTTGGCGAATTGGGGGCAGTAGGTCTTCTCGCTTGATGCTCATCAGGGCGCCCGGGCGGACATAGGTATCCACTTGCAACACCACAGCAAGGGCACACCAGAAGTAGAAAGCTTGGTTCTTGAGAAGAAGCCACTGAACTATCAACCAGGCCGCCTCGATGGGACAAGGGTCACGAATGCGACCAGGCATCTGGCGAATCCAACCTCGAAGAGCTGCCTTGGCCTTGGGCAGGACGTGCCCTCCGCGGCCCAGATGCGAGAGCCTCAGCAGCGCGTAGCCGTACAGGGCCCACCTGCCGATCTGCGGCTGCTCTCTCTGGGCGTAGAGCCACTCGAAGTAGTCCGACATCGCAGAGTCTGCCGCCTCGTGCGTGCGGAGGCTGCGCACCCTGCCAGCTGCCCAAGCCTCGAACTCGCCGACCTCCGCCTTGTAGGTGTGCAGGGTGGCGGCCGAGACGCTGTTCTCGACCAGGTTCCGAGGCAGAGGGGCAGGTCCGTGTCGTACAGCCGGCGGTCGCGCGAGACGCTGTCGCCGAGCGCCGAGCCTCTGCGCGGGAGCGCGCAAGGTCGCGCCACTGCTGGCCGACGTAAGCGATGAGCCTGCCCGGGACCCTGTCGAGCTCGTCGCCGACGTGCGGGGCCGACTTCCACTGGTCAAAGCCCCCTCGCTGACGACGCCGGAGGTTTGGATCGTGCGCTTGTTGGAGACTGGCCGAGCTAACGATGTGTCGAGCCGTGGCATCCTGAGAAAAGGGGAAGATATGATGCCGCTGTGCGTGGGCCCGAACCAACCGTGCTACATTGAAGCAGAACTTTGAGCCGTAGACTCCTGCGGCTCGAGAAGCTTGCGTCCATCGATATGCTTGCTTGTCAGCATTCCAGAGATAAAACTTACCCGTCGCAACCGTATGAGCGTGGCCGCCAGGACATCTTTTAGACAACTGCTCCAGGCCAGGAAGAGTGCCAATCAACCGAGTGGGTTTCTTGATGGTTCCCTCAAAGCCGCAAGCGTGAAATTCAACAACTGAGACACGTGAGTAAGACATGATTTCCATGATCGGCTCAAAGCCCCAGAGACGAGACGTGAGAGGATTCTCCAAGACAAAGGCCACGTTGTACTTCAGACATTCACGAATAACTTCTGACGAAAACCATGCGTGTTGGGCCCCTAGCCAGTCCTTTTCACGAGCAACTTCTGGATTCCGAACGCCTCGTCTAGCTATACTGAAGGCACTGCAGGGGGTCCCCAACCACACACATAAAACTTTGCCCCGCTGAATGAGACCGATGATGTACTGCCTGATGCCGGGGTCCAAGAGGTCATACTCGGGGCCTTTCGAGAGCTCGATACCTTCTCCACTTGGAACGCCTAGAGAGGCCACGGCCCTGGTGAGGCCCTCGTGGCCCGCGAACAGCTCCAAAAAGATCGCCCCTCTCCTAACGCGCAGCGTGCGGTTCAAGTCGTAGCCCTTGGGCTTGGAGGCCTCCAAGACTGGGACGTGTGAGCACCTTGATGGAGTCCCCGAAGAGGTCCTGCCGAGAGCCGAAGAACACGCTGAAGCCCTTGAGGTGCCCGTGGGAGGCCCCGTAGAAGTCCTGCGGGGCGCCGTACTCGATGGTGAGGGCCTCCTTGATGAGCCCGGAGAGGGGGCCCGAGTCCTAGAGGGACAGGTAGAGGAGGAAGCACACGCACCCGCAGGGGTGTCTTCAGGCATGACGAAGTGCGCCTTCTTTTTTCTCGAGGCAGCGGGCGCCGCTCGTACAGCAGCGACGCCTGGCAAGTGCAAAAGACGGGCCAGCGCGCCTGATGCGCCACCAGAGGGGCGAACTCGGCAGGAAGCGCGAACGATAGCCATGTCATGACCGCCTCGCTCCAGGCCGAGGTTGCGTGCCCTCTCCGTCGGGTCAGCACCTCCGTCAAAACGGCGAGAGCCCGCGTCCGTGGGGTTGCGAACTCCCTCGAGGTGTCGAGTCGCCCACTGAATGTCGCAGGCGATCTGCAGAGCTGCTGCCCGTTGGCCAAGATAGCGAAGGCCCCAGTTGGTCTTCTCCGTGCCTCGCCCACGCCCTCGATCAAAGGCGCAACAGGCGACCAGGCTGTCGGAGAGGGAGAGGAGCCGCTTCTTGTGGCAGCGCGGGTTGCGGCAGGCACGCCGAAGCCCCGCCAGCATCACCCTGCCTTCCTTGGTGTTGATGTGCTCAGTTGGGTCATTCCACTTCCGCTCGAAGAGGGTCTTCCAGCGCTCGGGCGGGTCCCAGTTGGCACCGAGTGCGGGCGCCTGACGAGGATCCTCCCGCAGAACTCGCTCTCGAAGTGCTCGGCGAACTCCTCCAGGGGCGAGCCTGTCACTTCCCTCCCGATACTGACGCTCCAGCTGAGTGGGAGGGCGAGGAGGAGCAGCCACGGCGGATGGCACGTGGTCCTCTTGCCACGGCTCTGGCGAGCCCCCCAGGGGCGAGAGGCCAGCGCTGTCGCAGAGCTCGAGGTAGGGGACCAGCTCGCACCGCGGGTCCAACCGATCCTCGATGAAGCGCCATCGTTCGTGATAAGCTGCCGCCTCTCTGAGCTCCGCATCCGAAGCGCTCGTGACCGCCAAGCAGTACCCCAGGTCAGAGGAGTCAGAGCAGTAGGCCATCCGCAGCCGAGGAGCACTCAGGTCGCGCTGGCAGAGGAAGATTAGACCCATAATCACTTTAATCTCCTGGCGCACAGAGCCCCACACCCGGCACCGCCGCTCGAGTGCATGTTGGATGAACTGGTAGACTGCCCACAGACAGGACAACGCCGGCCTGTTGAGCATGAAGAGGTGCACCACGTGGCCGATCCAGACTCGAAGGACCTCACCTCGAAGTCGCCGACGTCGGAGTAGTTCTTTGCCGGCCAGGTACACTCGCCACACTCGGCGCGGCTGGTGATGCAGAAGACGACGATGTCCGTCGAAGATGGCGCCCAAGTGCTCTAGCGCAAAGGTGTGCTCTACTATGTCGTGTGTGCGCATGTCACGCGCAGAGAACTGATGAAGAACAGTCTGTAGGTCTGAAGTACTGGTATTAGCAGACAGCAGGGCCGCGTTGTCGACGTAGGTCGAGGTGATCGGACTTGCAAACGAGGCCCGCGGCGCCCGGTGCTTCTCCCGAGCAGCTCGAGAGGCGCCTCCAGGGACCCCGGCAGCGACGATATGCTCCACAGCTGAATGACAAAAATAGAGAGCCCACGTAAAACCCATGCTAAGCGCTCTGAAGCAGGGGCACACGATGTCAGTGGGCTGCAGCGGCACCATCTTCTCGAGGTCGTCATCCCAGACCTCGGTGACTCCGTAGACGCCAGCCTCGTCGGGATCATCCATCCCGAACCAGCTCGCCATACGCCAGTTGTCAAACTGGTAGAAGCCGTCGACCACGTCCAGAGAGCTCCCAGAGAAAGGGAGAGAGAAAAGCCCGCCCTGCCCCTTGAGTAGCTCGGCCTCCTCCTCGGTGCTCAGCTCGGCGTCCGCGATGTCGGAGAGCTCGGCCAGGCTGAGATCCACGTCCGCCAAGGCGGCGATCGTGCCCAAGTCAGTGTGAGGGGGCATCCGGCACTTCTCGTTGGTCGAGCGGGCGTCCACAATCAGCCTGGTCATACCTGTCTTCTTCCAGACGAAGAAGATTGAGACCCTCGAGAAGATGCGTCGCCTGAACAACCAACAAGCCTACAAACGAAGAAAAATCCCCCACCCAAGACACACCAATAACAAATACAAAAACCAAACACCTTTAAACCAACTTGAAACTAACATACTACCCTGACCAAAAAAACACCAAAACAAACAACACAAAAATACACAAACAAACATATCCCACCAGGACTCAACCTCGTCAAACCCAATCAAGCCCGTAGAAGCTTTGGCGGTTTGTACCGCCGTGGGCGAACACAATTTGTTATCCCAAGCTACAGAACGAACATAACACAACCATAAAAAGACCGAACTGACCTACACATCAAAAAACACAAAACAAAAAAACAAAAAACAACAACACAACAACAAAAGAGAGATACACAACAACACAAACTACACAATCAACAGCAAAAGGGCCGCAATGCGGCACTGCTTTGAGCGCCGCAGGTCCGGGCACCAGTACGGGGTGACAGAGACGCCTCTCAAACGATCTGCCTCAAGCTCGCTCTCACTCTTCAACGCGTGTTTCTTGAAGTCCGTCGCCAGCCGCAGCGCGCCGGGAGGAAGCACGGACTCTAAAGGGAGCGGGGTGGTGGCGCCCTTCGTCACCTTCAGCTTGTCAGGAAGGTACGGCGCCATGTGTTGTGGCTCCTGCGTGTACAGGTCTTTCGCTTTGCACACTTCGTTGAGCGCGCTCAGCGGGGTCAGGTCTCGCGGCCGTTCGCCGTAGAGAGAGATGCGGTCATCCAGAGACTTCAGGATGGACATCTGCGAAGAAGAGGCCTTGCCCGAACTGCCACGGTATAGGCAGTTCACGTCTGAACATACTCTGGTGCGATACAGGAAATTGAGAGAGCGAACTGACTCGACAAGACGCTGGTCTTGATGTCCAGGTTGCCCGCGCATTCCTCGCCACCGGCGTCCGGAGCCCCCGAGGGAGCCCTTCACCAAGCGAACTGGCAGAGGGAGAGGATCACCATGCCGCCGCCGACCGCGATCGTGAAGACCACGGCATACAAAACTCAGAGCCCGAAGCAACTGACTGGAGGCTCCTACCTGTACGAAGTTAGTGACGGCGAGACCGACCAGGTACTCGGTCCCGCGTGGGCAGCGAAGGCTGCTAGCCTTGCCCTCCCTTGCCGCCGTCGGCGGCGTCGCCCTTGTTCCCCTTGGGGGCGCCCTTGAAACCCTTCTGGCCGCCGCCGCGCCTCTTGTCCTCGGCAGCCCGCTCCTCCCGAAGTAGACGAGACTGCTTGAGGGTAAAAGCCCGCTGGTGCTGCTTCTCGGCGACCCACCTGGTGAACTTGGGAACGGCCACGCGCCCCTTGTCCTCAGTCGAGCCCGCCAACATGTAGCCGAGCCCGCTGTAGTCGGGGTGCTTCGCGTCCTTCTCCACCGCGAGCTCATGTTGGATGAGCCTCCTGACGAGCTGCTCGCCCATGGCAGAGTTTGCCAGGTTGTACTGGTCATAGGTGAGCCCCAAGCGCAGCGCCTCCAGGATGATGCGATGGTCATGTGCGATCCCACTGTTGGGCGAGACCCCGGCCGCCACGCACCAGTTCTGATGGTAGCTGTCGAACGAGCCATCGGTGGTCTCCAAGATCCCGCCCAGATACTCTTTGACCGCACGCGGGTCAGCAAACGGGAAGTCGTCGAACTTAGTCTCCTCGAGCTTGCTGACTGCGTCCTTCGCCTGGAGGAAGCGCTTGCCCCCTGTCGTGCGGAAGGTGCCGAGGAGTCGCAGGTCGCCTCCACCGCCGACCCGACTCTTCCAGTCCGCCAGGTCGTTCTGGTTGACGCGCTCCACGTGCACCTCCGTCGAGGCGTCGTTGGCGTCGAGCTGCACCACCCCCTTGGTGTCCCGGAGCAGGGCCCGCCCAGCGTCGTCCAAGATGCCAGGCTCGACCTGCTCCCCGAACCGCGGGTGGGACGTGTCAGAGACCACCCAGACCTCGGCGTCGTCCACCTCGATGTCTTCCCCAGCGATGTCGGCCAGCACCTTCGCACGCGCGATGGCCTCGCTGAGCTCCCGAACAGGGATCGGGTCGAAAAGGAAGCAGTCGTTCCGACACCTCTCTGGCACAGGTCTGCCCCGAGCCAGCGGCTCGAACCTGACCGTGGCGGTGTCCAGGATCTGCAAGTCACCTGTCGGGGTGAGGACCACCCACTTGCCCGAAGAGATCCGAACGAGCAATACACGATGATGCCAGGCAAAGTTAGGATCGTCATCGTAGCGCACCAAGATTTGCCTCTCTTTGATATCCAAGGCACTCATTGTTGATCAGCGAGCCGCAATGAAGCTGGGGTCGCTGGACCACTCCTCACACGGGTTGTCGCCTGCTGCTCGAAGATGGGAGCCGACGGAGTTGGCGTCGAGATGCGTCGCGAGGTGCACCGACCCACGAGAAGCCCGGCCAAGAAACAGACCAAGCTGAAACTGAATGCGAGGCTGATGCAGAACGTCACCGTCACCGACGCACTGAGCTGGCTCTGGACTGATTCCAACTGTCGTGTCAGAACGCGCTCGATGTGCCTGCAGCCCGTGTCCGAAAGAGGCTCGCACTGATTTCCCTCAAAATGACAATGGCAGACCGGCTCGCGGGCCGGAGAGCTGAAGGCCACGACGTCTCGGAGGACGGAGTACAGAAAGTGAAGCCTGTCCTGCGGGAACTGCGTGGCGCCAGAACGAGCGGCCCGGGCGGGCCTATCTGAACAAGAAAGGAGCGACTACGGATGCAACAGAAAGCACCGTGTTGTCCGAAGGCCTCCCCTTCTGCGGAAAACGCGTACAAACTCACATATTATTGCTCCTGGTATTCGCAAACGATTAGTAGTTGTATTCGTAGCAGTGGCTGTAAAACTAATCGTAGTAGTAGTAGTAGTAGTAGTAGTAGTAGTAGTAGTAGTAGTAGTAGTAGTAGTAGTAGTAGTAGTAGTAATAATAGTAGTAGTAGTAGTCGTAGTAGTAGTAATAGTAGCAGTAGTAGTATTAATAGTAGTAGTAGTAGTAGTAGTAGTAGTAGTAGTAGTAGTAGTAGTAGTAGTAGTAGTAGTATCAGTAGTAGTAGTAGTAGTAGTAGTAGTAGTAGTAGTAGTAGTAGTAGTAATAGTAGTAGTCTTTAATAGTAGTAGTAGTTTGTAGTGTAGAAGTTTAGTTTAGTACTGTAGTCGTTAGTTCGTAGTGTAGTGATCGTAGGCGTAAGTAGTAGTAGTAGTAGTAGTAGTAGTAGTAGTAGTAGTAGTAGTAGTAGTAGTAGTAGTAGTAGTAGCAGCAATAGTAGTAGTAGAATAATAGTTAGTAAAAAGTAGCAACAATAAGAGTTCAGTAGTAGCGTTAATACTACTACTCTTTAGATTCTTATCTGTGCTCATAGTCGAAACAATAATTTACGCAACACCCCGCAATTGCGGATAAGAGTGAGGGGGCGGGCGCGGGCGACGCGGGCGTCGAGCCAGCGGACCTCGTGGCCTTCACCTTCCCAGGCGATGGCGCCCTCCTCGTCCTCCTGCTCCTCCTCCTCCTCCTCTTCCTCGTCCGCGTCCTCGTCCCCATCGTCGTCGTCATGCTCTGACAAATTTAGCGCGGGGGGATCACTGGTGGGTCTGGAACGAATGCAAAAACAACCCGCCGCAGGCGCCGAAGTTTTGGCTTGTTCAGTGAACGTAGTTTGGGTCGCGGGTGGGTCGCGGGCTCTCCACCTCCACCTGGAGGGAATTCAAAACAGCCCGCCGCAGGCGCCGAACATTTGGATTTGTACACTGAACGCAGTTTGGGTCGCAGGTTCTCTACCTGGAACGAATGCAAAAACAGCCCGCCGCAGGCGCCGAAGTTTTGGCTTGTTCAGTGAACGTAGTTTGGGTCGCGGGTGGGTCGCGGGCTCTCCACCTCCACCTGGAAGGACATTTTGATCTGTACACTGAACGCGGTTTGGGACGTGGGTGGGTCGCAGGTTCTCCACCTGGAACGAATGCAAAAGCAACCCGCCGCAGGCGCCGAAAATTTTGGGTGGGTCGCGGGGTGGGTGGGTCGCGGGTGGGTCGCGGTGGGTCGGGGTTGGTCCGCGGGCGCGGGTGGGGTCGCGGTCGTGGCTTCGCAGGTTCTCCACTTGGAACGAATGCAAAATAAACCCACCGCAGGCGCCCAAAATTTTGGGTGGGTCGCGGGGTGGGTCGCGGGTGGGTCGCGGGTGGGTCGCGGTGGGTCGCGGGTGGGTCGCGGGTGGGTCGCGGGTGGGTCGCGGGGTGGGTCGCGGGTTGGTCGCGGGTGTGTCGCTGGTGGGTCACGGGTGGGTCGCCGGGGGGATCTCGGGGTGGGTCGCGGGCGGGTCGCGGGGTGGGCCGCGGGTGGGTCGCGGGTTGGTCGCGGGTAGGTCGCGGGATTCGCGGGTGGGTCGCGGGGTGGGTCGCGGGTGGGTCGCGGGGTGGGTCGCGGGTGGGACGACCACAACAACAAACAACAACAACACCAAGAATCCACATCGCGAAATTCCACTTCAGCTACGCACCAAGGGACAGTGAATGACCGTTCGGTTCAGCCTCTCACTCTGATTAATGGTATTCGTAGTAATGATAACAATAGTAGTCGTCGTAATGATAATGGTAGTAATTGCAGTAGTAGTAGTTGTAGTAGTGGTAGTCGTATTCGTAGTCGTAATCGTAGTCGTAGTAGTAGTAGTAGTAGTAGTAGTAGTAGTAGTAGTAGTAGTAATAGTAGTAGTAGTAGTAGTAGTCGTAGTAGTAGTTAGTAGTAGTAGTAGTAATATAGTAGTTGTAGTGGTGGTAGTACTCGTAGTAGTAGTGTGTAGTAGTGGTAGTTAATAGTAGTTAGTAGTAGTAGTAGTGAGTAGTAGTAGAATAGGTAGTAGTAGTATATAGTAGTAAGTATGTATGTAGTAGTAAGAATTGTAGTAGTAGTAGTAGTAGTAGTAGTAGTAGTAGTAGTTGTAGTAGTCGTAGTTCGTATAGTAGTTAGTATGTAGTCGTAGTAATAGCACTAGTCATAGTCTAGTAGTAGTCATAGTCTAGTGGTAGTAGTCGTAGTAGTTGTAGTAGTAATGTAGTAGTAGTAGTAGTAGTCGTAGTCGTCCTAGTAGTAGTAGTAGTTAGTAGTAGTTCAGTAGTAGTAGTAGTGTAGTCGTAGTAATGATAGTAGTGGTGAGGAGTAGTAGTAGATGTAACAGTAGGTAGTAGTGTAGTAGTAGTAGTAGTGGTAGTGTAGTAGTAGGTGTAGTAGTAGTCATAGTAATAGTAGTAGAGTATTGTAGTAGTAGTAGAAGTGGTTGTTCGTTAAGTAGTAGTAGTAGTAGTAGTAATGTAGTGAGTAGTAGTAGTAGTTAGTAGTAGTTTAGTAGTAGTAGTAGTATACTAGTATTAGTACTAAGTAGTAGTTACTAACTATTAGTAGACTAGTAATAAGAGGGTAGAGCAGTAGTAGTAGTAGTAGTAGTAGTCGTAGTAGTAGTAGTAGAAGTAGTACTAGTGGTGGCAGTAGTAGTAGTAGTAGTGGTAGTAGTACCAAAAATAATAGTAATAACTACGACAGAATAAATAGTGGTAGTAGTAATAATAATGGTGAGTCGTCGTCGTAGTAGTAGTAGTAGCGGGAGTAGTAGTAGTAGTAGTAGTAGTAGTAGTAGTAGTAGTAGTAGTAGTAGTAGTAGTAGTAGTAGTAGTAGTAGTAGTAGTAGTTAGTAGGTAGTAGTAGTAGTAGTAGTAGTAGTAGTAGTAGTAGTAGTAGTAGTAGTAGTAGTAGTAGTAGTAGTA